ATACCTATATTTATTTTATGCGTACCTTGGTTTTTATTTTTATTTTTTAAAAGAAAAATAGAAAGGAACAATTAAAGATACATTATACAATGTGTGTGAAGAAGGAAATTGCTGCCCACAATTTTCAATCGAAAGACTCATATCTTCTCTTGTAGTCTCTACAAAATATTCAAACTCTATCAATCGATTTTACCTAAAAATGGCAAAAAAGAATCAACAACTCATTTTGTCACCATCACAAGGCGCGTTTTTTATATTCCAATTGGTTGATTGTTATCAATTAACTATGTTTATTTTTAGGGAAACTGTGTGAGAACTTAGGCTGGTGTTCGTTTATTCTAACGACATAATCAAATTGTTTTTTGATCAATCGATCAAATGTGAGATCATTGACACATACTTTTACTGAATCTGCAATTCTACCTTTCGGCAACAACAAAATGTCACAGTGCGGTTGGGTTGTTTGTCCTGGTCGTTTCGGTAAGTTAGTAATTTATATTTGTATGATTAATACTCTCTCTCATCCAAACTTATTCTCAGTTTCTTTTTTAGTTGTCATTCAAACTTATTCTCGTTACCCTTTTTAGTTAAAATACCATGTTTTCTTCTTTTTCTTTACCATAAAAAGAAATTCTCTATTTTTACCTACTTTTCTTAAAACCCATACCGGGTCAAATTGATATAAATTTACATGACGGAGGGAGTACTATTTTTCAAGTTCTTATAATTTTAAAACATTACATAACAACGAATTATAACAACATCAATGATTAAATATTGTAAATATTTATTTATTTTTCTTTTGAAATAAAAACATAGCATTATTTCTATTAGAAAAAAAAATCCACACTTATTATTATTATTTGTTTATTTTGATAAATTTTTTTGTATTAGAAGGTCCTCCAAATGACGCGTAAAATTCGATTCCTAACATATATATGGTATATAAGTTTCTATATTGAATTGATGATCTCGTTAAATTTATTCGAAATTATTTTGGTTTTTAGGATTGAATAGTAAAAAATGAATAAAATACATGTACTTGTCCGTGCATATGGTACAATAGCCCACCGATTATTTGTTGTCGCTTCTGTGAATGGTTTGAAGGTAGCATGACACTTTTATAAACTCGTAGAAAATATGAATGACTGACCACGACATACCCCCTAACTGCCAACAAGATACTCCCAAAAGAAATAAATATGCTCATGTATGCTTTTCATATACTCAATAATTGTACGAGACTGTTTACAAAAGATAAAACATTACGTTTTTGCTTACCGTTCATTCATTAAAGTATTCCTAAGATGTTATTTTCTAGTGGATGTGTGCAATTGGTTTGCTTTCAACCACATATATATTTTTAAAAATATAGTTGTAGTATTCCTAAATAAATACTCAAAATTAAAATATATACGCGCATACGTGTTTACATTGTACTCACAACTTTTTTTTCCAATCCAATTCACATTGATGATCATTCTACCAATGTTGCAATTTATATTCGTTAGCGTCTTGCATTGTCCATATCTAAAAACTAAAATTCAAACACTAACATTGGACATATAAATAGCTTTAATGTCAACCATAATGACATTGCAAGTGGTTCAACATTTGTTGAACTTTTCATCATAGTATAATAGAGGATAACATGCTCTCACCTAGTTCTTTTATGTCTCATCTCTTACAGGATTGACCGACATTGTAAGAAATCAACTATATTTATGAATACTTGATATTTTGCAACTAATACCTTAGATATCAATATAGATACCTTTATTGTCCGTGTTTATACTCGGTACACACAAGCACATATCTACATGCACTATACTTATGTCATGATTTGCTAGTTATGTACCTATAGTATAATATCAAATACTTTGTGTACACATAATTATGCCTAGGAAACCCCTACTTGAGTAATTGATCATCTTGGGTATCATATACCCCCTTGTTAGTGACAACAGGGGATGAATTTAACATGATAGTATTCTCACCAATTTCTGGCGAATATTAAAATACAAAGAGTACACGTTTACAATAATCCAATAGGAAAACATCACCATACTTATACAATAAATGTTCAATATCTACTTGTGGATAGTAAATGAAATTATAGAGAAATTAGTTAAAATATTTTTCATTACTATGCTACACTTCCGCTACTACAGGAATATTTAACAGTTGATGCAATTTAAATTCGTTCTCATATAAGTAACATAAGACAAATGTAGTACTTACTTGAAATAACGGGTTGTGATCTACTATTAGAACTTTGAGTTTTTTCCACATAATAGGAACATAATAATCCAAACTGTAGGAACTCATTTAGAAAATTCTCCGTTGTTGTAGGAACTTTGAGTGCATCCATATATATATCTATGCATTGATAATATATATATATATATATATATAAACATGATATACAATCTAAACTTTCTAGTATATACCTTCGTTTATAACATACAAACTATAGTTGCGGATTTGTATGTACTTGAATGATAAATATATACTTATGGAAGACACTTAGATATTCGTATTTAATATCTATATACTTCAGTAGAACAAAATAGTTGATCGTGTAATATACGTGCATAAAAATAAAAGAGGTTATTTTAATAATTCCATAAAAATATTGACAAAATCAGTTGTACATAATCATTAGAGATATTTGGTCATTTGTTCAATTATACGTCTTTTTATAATGTTGTTTCAATACCATAGTTTTTTGTATTTCATTTAGTAAGGATCGGGTGGTTGTTGCTTTTTTATCGAAATTTTATTGAAATAAATATATTTTACCAACATTATGTGTTAATATACCGATAGGAATGTCATTGAAAATCAATTAATTTTGCACATTTTGAAGATAGATCCTATTGATCCTTATATACCCATGTATTGATTAAGTATACTTTTATATACATGATGCATACTTTATTAATATTAGTCAATACCTATGTGCAATAAACTCGTGCAGTAAGATATGCATATCCACCAATAGAACAAAACAATTGATTGTATGATTTATATGCAATTCGATCAAACTGTAGAGATTATAGATTAGATTTAACCTATTCAATTATACATTTTTAATATTGTTGCGGCCATATCATAGGTCCTAAACAAAAATATTACAAAAATTTTTATTCAATTAAAATTAGAAATTACATAATATTATCCAATTTTAGAATTGTGTGATGGAAATGATATTTTTTTCTTTTTTCAGATTTGAGCAAATGCAATCAAATAAATTGAGAGATAACTGTATTGAAAAAAAAAAACTTACTAAGAAACAACCGTCAAATATACGCGGGATTATTTGCACATCAAAAAACTAATTACTAATTTGGTGCTATCAAATCCCAGATAATTGAGAAATTTAATCACATCTAGAATACTATCACGGTAAGAAATCATCATTAGTGTTGGATTTATATAATTTGAGAAAATGGAGAGTTTGACCTAATAAAAATAAAAATTTTGGAGATTTATTTTAGAGAGTATAACTATGTTCCTCTCCATATTTTTTCTTTTCCTTCAAAACGATTTGGTAAATATTATTTTCACTATCTTTAGCATTTAAAAGGATTTTTCAGAAATGATCTTGAGAAAATACAGTAATTAGAAGAGAATTGGAGAGGAAAAAGATAAGGATAATTTTGTATTTTCACATATAGTAAGGGTAATAATAGGAAAATAGAAATGGAGAGTTATTTGCAAAGATTATACTCCCTCCCTCTGTCCCATATTGTCGTTTCTGTCCGTCCCACATTCCATGTCATTTTTTTTTTAAATAATTATACACTTTAATATCATTTTAAAATTTTTAATTCAATTTTTTTTAGTTTTAATTAAACTAATTAGTTATATTAACCTTAATTTATAATTATTTATATTACAAAACTTTATTTGTAATTGTAATAGGGATTGAATGATAATATTTTTTATGGCAAAGGTAGTTTTCTCAGATTTGCCGAATTAATATTTTATTTATCAATTTAAGATATAATTAAATGTTTATTTAAGTAATACTAATTAAGTAATATTATATGTCATGTGAAAAAAAATATTTATCATTATGCATGCATATATATATATATATTATAGCAATCAATATAATTTATCTTATTTACTATCTTTATGAAATCAATTGATATGATAAATTTTTTAAATAACATGCGCTGATGCAGAAGTTAAATAAATTTTCAATAATATGGTTCATTTCCTGTTTATCATAAGTCTTTAAATTTTTGCGCTCCAACATTGCTGGGCGCATTCTTGACGAGTGTCTTTTATTTTTAATATAGGACTCATTTGTCGCCGTTATTATATACTCTCTTCTTCTCAGATATCATGTTCACGTTGTCGTTTTTGTCGTTTCACATACCATTTCACTTTTCTTTTTTGGAAAATGATTACACACTTTAATCTCATTTTAAATTTTTAAATTTTTTTTTTAATTTTAATTAAACTTATCTTAATTTTAATTTATAATTATTTATATTATAGGATAATTATTTTCACTAATACATTCTTAATTATCTATTAATTATACCCCTCCTATAAAATACTGTATTTACAGTGTAGCAGATACGGTATCTGGACGGAGTGGGTAATATATATATTTCTATGCATTTATTTATTTCCAATGAGACATCCCTATGCGAGATGATGCAGGTGCAGTGTACCTGTAGGGTCACTGACTTTGTTGTCTTCCCTAGTCTTTGGCATCCTTTTGTTCTGAGTGGTCTAAGAAGCTAATTGTGATATTTAAAGTTTATATTTTTGTTTGGCATACATATGCATATTTTCTTAAAGTTTCTCGTTTTGTTTCATGGAACAAGAGTTTTGTTGTGCTTGTAATAAATTGTGTTGTGAAAGTTTCTTCTTACTATGAATCCTGGTTGAATTGTACTGTAAATTTATTCCCGAATCCTTTTGAATTTATCAAACAAACTTGGTATATAAAAATACGAATCAATTAATATTAGCGGAAACGAATTAAATCAAAATAAAATTTATCACATATTAATAAAAGGCATAAATTGGAATTAGAAAACAAACGCAAACAGACGGAGCCAAAGAATGAATTGAAATGGAAATCTCTGTTTGTCTTCTTCATTCCAGAATTTCACAGCTTATGCTTTTGTTGAACAAAAAATCGATCGACAGCAGCGGTGACTCTGACTCGGCAGCATCCTCTGGCGACAGTTCTCCTTCAGCGACTCCAAGGGCAGCCGCGGCTCTACAGTCTGCTCCGGCGCACAGCGCACCTCTGTCGAATAGCCCCAACTCCGGCGATAGCTTGCGTTGCTTCCGACGACTGTAACTTCTCTGATCTTTCACCGGCGAGAAAGACAGCGGACTTCGGCTCAGATCCTTGGTGCAATATTCGCCCGAGGTAACCACAGCTCAATGTGAGGTCGGCATCTTCACACCAAGCTTTGACGCCCACCAGAATTGGCCATCGGAAATGTTTGAACTCTCAACAGAATTATTCACCGGAAAACCCGCAGAATCTCTCTTCTCTCCCTCACCCTCTCTCGGTCTCGCCCTCATCAACAAAACAAACAATAGGATTAAAGGGTGTGGCCAATCCACCAAGTTAAGGAGTGGGCAACTAATTATTTAGTATCGAGGGGCTCGTTGGGTGAGGCCTCGAACGGCGAAAACGCATAACTCCATTTAAAACTTGGGAAGTGAAATTTCAGACATGGAGACAAAATGAATGCCACCGCCTTGTGTTATTACCACTGATAATCTGTTATTATAATAGTTTATAATATCACCGCACCTATACCATAATTATACTGTCGATGTTCTTCAAAGGTCTGCTAAATATCTTCAAAATGATTTAGGACACGAATATAGTGAAGAGCAGGGAGGAATTATTAGCCGAGGAGAGAGATTACCAGCGCCGGAGGATGTCATATCCTGGAAAGAAAGTGAAACGTAATCCTTTAGAGGTAAGGTGCATTTGATTTGACATGGTGATCCTAGTAATTAGTATTCCTTCACTGCTAAAACACAAAACACCAATCAATCATGTCAGTTCAACAATTATTAAGTTGGTTGAGTATTATATTTACTGCAGTCTTAGTTATCTGAAATTTGTGGGCTAATGAGGGATATTATAAAGGAATATACAGATGAAATCAAGCAAGCTGTAGGTATTGCTGACATATCAAAAACTGAGGAGATGACTGAATCAATGGCATCTGATGATTTGAATGCACAAGCAAATGCTTCTGGTGTTTCTCGATCAAGAGGAAAATCTAGGATACCTGAAACAAACAGGGACAAATCGCTTGATTACTGGAGTAACCACAGTTCTCGTCATTATTCGGAGGGCCTCAAGGATGAAATCATGGTGCCAAGACAGGATTTGAGTTCATATTATTTGCATAAAGATTTCAATGCAAAGGGTAAGATAAACGATCAAGATGGAAAAACAAATAAAAATATTTTGAGAGAGCGGATGCATGGTAGAGACAAGCATGAGTACACAGAGGCCAGAGAAGGTTCTCCTCAAAGATCAATCCAAAAAAAGAAACAAATTACGCGAGCGAGCGTAACCATCACAAACACAGAGATAAGCGTGAGTGATATCATCATAAAAGTGAAAGAGAAGACCATGCCCCAAGTTCTCATAAAAGAGAGAGCTGGGAAGATTATAGAAAGCATGGGGAAACAAGGAGAAGAGATGCAGATGCTGCTCGTCAGGACAGACAAGAAAACAGAGAAGTAAAACAATGGGGAGTAGAAGTTCTCATCCTGAGCCCCAGGAGTTTGATGATCGATACAAATCCTTCAGAGTCACATGGTTTTTATGGTGAACTTCACAACAGTCTCTGGTGACTGGGAGTAGGTGATGGTATCAACATAGACATATTAGCTATTCCGTTACAACTGTCAGCTTGAAAATTTATGCAGCCGTATGGCAACTGGTGGTAAGCTTTCTTGGCCAAAGTTCTCTTGAATTCTTCTATTCTTATCTTTTAATAAACCCGATTCCTTTGTTTTTGTTTATGTTTATTCACTAAATATGGCAGCAAGCAGTCTTGCAGGTGTTTGAGATTTATCCACAACTGTATCCTCTTCTGTATCCTTCATGAGTTTTTGTGTTTCTTATTGATCCCTGTGTTTATTTTCTCAGTCTCCATCTGTTTCAATACAGAAGAAAACTATATAGTTTCAATAGAGGAAAAAATGTTAATTTTTTGCATGGTTTTTCATCCCTCGCCGTAGTTTAGTTTTCTCTATTGCCCATGTGCATAGTTGTCTTCTCTTTATCTCAAACTTGCACTTTGGACCTTTTTTGGAACCGATGATGTATTGGTCATGGCATGGCACTGTAAGCGTATTTCTTTGCAGAAGGGAGGATTTAATGGAGGAGCAGACAACTGTTGTGGGGATGAAGGCAATTCTGATTTCACATAGTCACTACAAAAAAATATCAATTTTGTAACAAGATTTTTACTAATGATATTAGAGACGGAATTTGAGATGGAATTACGTTAGCTACGTGAACTTTACGAACAGAATTCCGTTACAAATATACTATTTTTTTGTAGTGACAGTGAATGTTATGGTTTTTGTAATTTCTTCCTCACCTTATGTTATTTTTTTTTTTTTTGGAATATTAAGCCACACATTAGTTTTCACCTCTTCCATTCTCAATAATATCAACAACACTCTTCTCATCCCATACTTCATTAATAGCTGCAACTCTTGAAACTTAAACAAAACTTTTTGTTCCGTATGTAGATAACCTCATTCTCTTCATTGATGAGCGTACCTTTCATTTCCATTTGATTCGCTTTGGTTGAAGCTATTTGATATTCAAATCACGATCTGCTGTGATATATTGTTAGGATCCGAAATAAGAAGAACAATGTGTTTCCCAATTTCTCTTCATCAAGGGTAATTCATCAATACTTTACTTCCTCCATATCCCCAACAGTCTTAAGGTACGAATTTAAATACTCTTCTAAGCAATTCAAATTTAAATTCAAAATAGAAATAAATGACAATGACTTAAAATAAAAGATAAATTAAAATTTTAAATTTGAATTTATAAATAAGGTTACATTTGGTGGTGAAAGATGTCAACAAGATTTCTTTAAATACATACAGCTGAAAGTAAAAAATACAAAATATTTCTTATACGTGTGTTACGGCAATTTTGTAAAATTTAGATTGACAATGCCAAAAATACTTCTTAGTTTTTTTACTCTCCCTCCTCCGCATACGGACAATATAAAAATTTACGTAAATACAAATATAAATATTTTTATCATACTTACTAACAATAATTATATATTATTGACATTTTTTTTAGGTGTTGATATCTATGATGGACTTATAAAGAGTACGAATAAACGAGGGATAGAACATAAAGTTTTTACTATCTCTGTGAACAATGACTCCAATAATGATGCGACAATTCGAATTGCTAAAAAAATATTTTCTAAAAGTCGTAAGTTGCCGTTGGAAGGATAGTTGTTTCATGTTCGATACACTACACATATATTGAATTCTTTAGTTCAAGATGTTCTTTATGAAATTAAACATGTCATTAAAGATGTCAAAATAGTACTTCCTCTATCATCCAAATTTATTTCCACTTTTCTTTTCTGGTTGTTATTCAAACTTATTCTCGTTTTCGTTTTTAGTAAAAAAAATACCACTTTTCTACCATTCCTTTACCAAAAAAGAAAAAAAAATTCTATTTTTACCCACTTTTTCTAAAAGTCGTGCCCAATCAAATGAACATAAATTTACATGACAGAGGGAGTATCAATTTATATGTCATTCAGAGTCTAGGTTAAGAAAAATTTTTGATGTCGTGCATTTGAGACTATCGCTTAAAAAGTTGATAATTTATTGTCCAACTCGTTTGAAGTCTACATATGAGATGCTAGTTAGCCATTTAGATTTAAGGATGCATTACCTATATTTCAACAAATAGAGTATGCGTACAATTGTTGTCTTAATCTTGATGATTGGAATAATCTGAAGGATGTTATTGACATATTAAAGATTTTATAAGCTACTCGTGTTATTTTGGAGTTGATTATCATACTTCAAATATTTATCTTTTTGTTATTTGAAAAGTCAAACATGTCTTGAATGATAAAAAGAATCACATTGACGAGTTCATTAGAGTGATGATTCATAAGATGAAGCAAGCATTTGGAAAATATTGAGAATGTTGCCACCTTCTAGTGGCTATTGGAGCAATACTTGATTCTAAATTTAAAATGAGGTTAGTTGAGTTTGTTTTTAGTAGAATATACGATGAGAATTATGCACGTACCAATGTGATGAAGCTTCGTGATGCATTTTATAACTTGTACTTTGAGTATGTTGAAGCTGATTATGCGAAATCTCATAAGGATATTATTATCTGTTGTAAAATTTTCATCTCATGGAAATTTGATTCCCTCTTGTTTATTTATGTTTGATGATTATTTGAATGTTGCTGAGATTGATGGACCTTTTAAATCAAATTTGAATATCTATTTGGAGAAGGGTGTTTATAGATGTCAAGATGAAGATGTTAGTGTATCTACCGATTTTGATGTTTTAGCTTGGTGGAAATCTCAAGAATTGAAATTCAAAGTTTTATTGAAGTTAGCTCGTGATGTGTTAGATACTCCTATTAGTACAGTGGCATCAGAGACTACATTCAATGTAGAAATTTGAGTGCTAGATCCTTATCGTTCAAAGTTATCCTTGGATATGTTCGAAATATTGATTTGTGGAACATATTAGGTTTGCCAACTTAATGGAATAAAAAAAAAACTAATTATGACAAATGTAAGTTTTGTTTTTAAATTGATATATATATATATATATGTGATTGCATATATTCATTTTTTTTTTTTTATGGCCGGTGGAAGTAAGCAAAGTCAAATTTATAGAATCATAAAGTATGAAACATTTAGGGTGAATTTGTTTAGTGAAATTGTTTGAAAAAAAAAATTATGTAAATAATATAAAAATAATAAGAGTGTTAATATATTAATATTTTTTAGGAAAAATATATTTATGAAAAATTATGGAAGAACAAACCCTAAGTTTTATGAATTTTAAAATTAAGTGATTGCATATATTAATATTTATATAAATTCATATTTTATTTTAATTTAATTTTTAGTTTCATAGAATGAAGAAGAGTCTATTTTATATCAATTTGCAAAAGTTGATGGATGATGGATACTTGTCTAGTTGCAGATTCATTTTCATGACTTTGATAACAGTTTTATTATTATTATTATTATTATTATTAGTTTTTGATATGTTTTATTTTGATTATTTATATGAACTTGAACTGTTATTTAAAAGAATTTTGTGAATAGTGGATATATGAACTTAAAATATTATTTTGATTAGGGATTTTAATGGGTCTATGTAAACCCCATCCCTGACTCATTTATTTAAAATCTGGTCCAATTATTCGGGTATCAAGTCGGTCTAAGTCGAATTGGACCCAACTCTCAACCCGGATCCGATTAATATATTAATTATATATATAATAATTTTTAATAATATAAATTATATTAAAAATATATTTTAGTTTAATTTGTTCATTTTTTTATTATTTTATTATAAATGTTTTGAATAAAATACATAAATTTTAATATATGTTGGATTTAAGTCCAATTTTAAGTTAAAATTTAAGAGTTATAAGAGTTTTTTCGGATCTATAGGATCCATCAGGTCTTGTCGGGCATTGTTCGAGTCGGATATGATATAATCAAGTCCAACAATGTGTATTCGGGTCGGGTTCGAGTACGATTAGATCCGACCTGTACCCGAACCCTTGTCATCCCTAATTTTGATGAATTTTTTGAATGGTGGATGAAAAAAAAATTTAATGTTATTTTGATAAATTTGATAAATGGTAGTATGATACTTTTTTCTTTCACCTTATTTGTTCACTATTTTTTTCGTTCGCTCCACCTTATTTGTCGATTTTTTTTAGAAAAAATGAATATAGTTTAATTTTATTTTAAAGGTAAAATTGCTCGTAACTCCTAGGTGTTTTGGAAATTCAACGTAAAATCTCCCTATATTTAAAGATTGCATGACGGTCTCTTATACTTTAAAGGTAGGTTTTATGGTGATGGAGTTTCATGCAACATTTTTTAAAATATAAGGGGGTGTCATGCAATTTTCAAAATAAAGGAGATTTACGCTGAGTTTCGAAACCAATTATGCGCAATTTTGCCTATTTTAATTTTCATAATAAAATCTTTTTTAATCTTAATTAAATTAATTAGTTATTTTAATCTTAATTTATAATTATTTTTATTAATACACTTCTTAATTATTGATAAATTATACTTTATCTAAATTCTCGTACTACGTTAAACTCAACATATAAGGTGCGACGGAGGAAGTAACATTTTAATGAAATATTTTCAATTCTTCTACTTTTATGAAATTTTTAATCAAAATAATTTTGAATCAAATTAAAAAATAATAATAAAAAAAATAACGAATCAAATATTTGATTTCAAGAAAAAATCATAAAAAACAAATCGAATATTCAAATCGAATAGAATAATTCAAATATTATTCCGAATCGAATATGAATAACATTTTAATATTCGATACTTATTAAATAGCAAATCAAATATTCAAATAGTTCACAAATACAAATAGAATAGTATGATTGTAACCATCCTTCTATCACGTACTGCCCAGTTGTTTCTCGAACACCTTCCGTGCGACCTAGAAACTTCCGAACACTTAGAGGTTGCTAGTACAGCCTTTCCTCGAACACCTTCAAGAACACGATCAAGAACGCTCAAGAATTGTAGAGAGGAAGTAGTGAGGGAAAACACTTGTAATTGCTCTCAACTTGATGATTTACAAATGAGCACTACCACCTATTTATACAAGTCCATTGTGAAATGGACGGTCAAGATTGAATCGATCCAATGGCTAAGAGTATCTCCCAACCACCATCTACCACCTACCATCTACCAACCCCCACCTACCTTCTACTACCTATCATTTACCAACCTCTAACTATCATCTATCACTTACCATCTACCAACCCCTAACTACTCCATACAAGTTCTAGTTTTATCCACAAGGTTTCGGATTAGCCTTCAGGTTTTGGCTCATTCTCTCGGTCATCTCCGGTCACAGATTCGGTCCGTGACATTCTCCCCCACTTGATGAAGGCATTGTCCTTAATGCCTCGAACTCATGCACCAAGTCCTCGATTGCCAAAGTTTCTCCACCATTTCCCAACTCGTCTCGCCCTCGGGCAAGCCTTTCCATCTCACCAAGTATTCCGTTGACGGTGGACGGTTCTTGTGGCGCACTGATCGATCCGCCAATATCTCTTTTGCTACTTTGTCAAATACCGTCGGCATCTTGGGTGGAGCTCTTGTCGATATATTCCGACCTAGGTCTCAATCATCCGTGCACCGGGTGAAGTTGGGACAAGTCCTCGGGTAGCTTCACCTTGTACACCACCTCGCCTACTTTCTCCACGATTGGGAACGGGCCTACGTATTGTCTCATTGACCCCTTGTGCACTCCTCGTACACACCCATGTTAGTAGAATTTT